TCAGTGTATTATGCTTTATTATTTCAAGAAAGGTAAAAATGCAACTGAAACACAAGAAAGGATTTGTGCAGTGTATGGAGAAGGTGCTGTGACTGATCAAACGTGTCAAAAGTGGTTTGCGAAGTTTCTTGGTACTATTGACATTTTGGCCAAATAATTCTTTGTTGTGTGGCTGTCTTATGCATTGGAAGACATTTAGCAGCATCCCTGGCCTCTTCCCACTAGAAGCCAATAACGGGAGATAGCTGGTGTACTCAGAATATCCAAATCAATAAAGTTATGGTGAAAATGAAAAATGTGTCTTTTATGGGAAAAAAATGTAACAGGCTTTTTGGTTAACCCAAATAGGGGCCCTAGGTCACCAAAGGAAGCTAAGGAACATGCCAGAATCCTGCGTAACCCCTCCTCCAGGACAGCCACACACCCATTATCTAGCCAATGTCAGCACAAAGTCATCGTGACTGGGCCAGGTCTACAGCTTTGGTCCCTCGGTGACTTGAGCATTTTGGGGTTTTAATTAGCAGCTTGTTCTCCTTGGGTTTCTTGAATTGTAGGTGTTTTCCAATAATCATGTTAATTTTCACCCCATTGGCCAACACTGTTCATCCACTGGGTGCTGACTGGGCACCTGGGTGCCCTGGCTCCTCCTGGCAGGCTTGGGGCTCTGCAGACTTGTTATCTGCTTTGACTGAGCGCATCCAACTCAGGGAGGGTCTGACTGAGCCTGAGTGATGAAGAGGACATCAATGGTCCCTGACTCCCACCTGTCTGCCTTTACCCCCCCAAGGTTGTCTTTCCATATTTTGATCTTCATGGCCCCCACCTCTCACAGCATCTCTCCCTCTCCTCCCAAACAGCAGCTATGTTACTTTTGGGCCTTTCATCTTGTGCCACCAGGGCCTCCCTTACTGTCCCCTTGTATTAATTAAGGTATTTGCCTAAACAAGCTCTAAAATACATCTCTAAAATGATTTTGGTGCCAGCTGGTCAGATTAATTTTTCCAATTTTCTACGATACAATAATAAATGATACACCATCTTTTGTCAGTGGGAGGTCAGCATCTGGGGGAAGACAAGTGTGTAGACCAATAATTATATTACAGTGAAATTAGCCCAACTTTCTGAGGCAAAACTGCAGTGATAAACACCCAGCAGGTCAGCGTCATGATAAAAGGAAATGTGTGCTAGCCACCGCACTTTGCTCACATGGTATCCATCCAAGCAAGCGGAGAAATCACTACATGCCCCATCCTCCCAGCCCAGAGGAGGGAGAACCAGACTGGAACAGCACCAGTGGCCACCATGATTTAGGTGCAGACTGGCTGCGGGCTCTGTGGAAGGATTTCCCAAAAAAGCTAAAACTTGAGCTGGGCCATGGAGCACCAAGGGGCAGGCCGACACAAAATGGAAACTGACTAAAGTGGGGGAGGGAACTGGTAATCCCACCAAGGCCTATGAAGGAGCTCCATATGGATTCGTTTCCTACTGTGGGGCTGGGACCTCTGCTCAGGGTCTCTAGGCTGGTGATCCCTGTGGTGGTGGGGCTGTGTCTCCTCTGAGGTTAGACTAGGGTCTCTCCTAAGATCACACGCTGTTGGTGGAATTCTCTTCCCGGCAGCTGCGTGACCGGCGGCATGCCGCTTCTCCCTGGCCCACAGAAGGGCCTCTGTGACCTCAGGAGGATCCCAGTCCCTCTCCTAAAGGGTTCTCCTGATTAGGCCAGGCCCACTTTTTATTAACTAAAGGTCAACTCTTTAGGGACTTTAATTCCATTCTGAAAACCCCTTTGCCATATAAGATCATATAATCAGGGGTACAACCCCCATCACATCACAGGTTCTACCCACACCCAAGGGGAAAGTAGTGAGCCATTGGAGCTTTAACTGCACCTCTATTGCTGGACTTTCAGGTGACTCCTGATTTTTTTCCACGATATAAATCATGGTGCAGAAAACATGCCACACACACATTTTGGGGCATGTTTGTCTGTGTCCTTATGATAAATCACTGGAAGTGGAAATGGCAGGGCTGGAGGGTCTGAAACATTTTCAAGGCATTTGACATATAAGTTGCAGTTCACATCTCCCAGGTGACCTTTATTAAGGCCCACCTAACCCTTCACTAGGGCCAGGAATGAGTATGCCTTTCTTCTTTGTTAATTTGATGATGGGTGAAAAATATATAAATTTGTTATTGAACCATGAACTGAATCAAAGATTAAAACCTACTCATCCATGCACAGCTAGAGAGCCAGCCTGAACCAGAATTGACTCTATATTTTCTAAAGTGATTGAAGTGTAACATCAAAATAGTCTCTGAACTGAGTCTCACCCAGTATTTCAGTCCATTCAAGTTCCTAATTAGGCCATAAGGGGACCACAATGAAACCTTGACCATGCCTTGACCTTGTTAACACTAACTGCAATCCAATCGCTGGCATGAACAAACTGCCAGTCACAGCCCTACAGGAGCTTTACAGGTGCCAATGACAGTTCCCCTTAAATCAGCCAAATTTAACACAGGAAATTCAGAAAGCAGGAGGCAGATGTGACATTCCAGGCAGGCAGACAGACAAAGACCTCAGGATTCAGGCCCTGGATACATACCTTTCCTTCCCACCAATGCAGCCCTCAGGCTACATTAGGACCTGAAAGGCCCTCAACTCTGAGAAGATGTAAACTGAACAATTTTTATTTTTTAAATTTTTATTTTCTCCACCTTTTATTTTCTACCTGACATGACACTTCCACAATGGGCCCTTGTTTGAACAGGATTAAAATATGTCAAGAAGCAACAGAAAATATATACATATTTCAAATCGTTAAGTTGTACACCTGACCCTAAGATATAGTAGTTCCCCCTTATGAATGGTTTCAGTTACCCAAACCAGCTATGGTCTGAAAATATTAAATGGAAAATTCCAGAAACAAACAATTCACATGTTTTTAACTCTGTGCCAATCTGAGTGGTGGGATGAATTTTCTCACGACCAGCTGCATTCCCACAGTCCCCTCCAGGTGAATCATTCCTTTGTTCTGTACACACGGTTGTCAGAAAGACTTACTGGCAGTGCTTGAGTTCAAGTCACCCTTCTTTTGCTTAATAACAGCCCCAAAGCCTCTCACATAACCTTGATTACAGCATATTGTTATAATCATTCCATTTTATTGTTAGTCTTTTACTGTACCTAATTTATAATTTAAATGTCATGTACCATTGACCCTTGAACAACATCGATTTGAACTGCACAGGTCCACTTATCCACAGATTTTTTTCAATAAGTACAGTTGGCCCTTCGTGGGTTTCACATTTGCTGGGTTCAAGTCAGTAAATTCAGTCAACTGCTGATTGAAAACATTGTTTCCACATTCCCAACTGTAGATTTTTTAATTTTCTTCCGGCTGGCTCACCAAAACTGTGGGAGCTACAAAAAATACTTCTCCCACCGTGTAAGTTCTTCTAGCTGGGCTAATAATCTGATGAACAGGGACAGATTAGCAGGAGAAAATCAAATTTTAATACGTACATATAGGGAATTCACATTAAGTGTGAAAATTCCAAAGACACTGAGACAGCATTGGGTATATGACATTTTAGACAAAAGAGAAAAGGTAGAGACAGGGTCTTAGATGTCAGAAGTGAGAGCAATTTTATAGTTAATTGATGAAAAGCAGAACACACACAGCAGGTAAATTCTTAAGTAACAACCCAGGAACGATGGGACGGGGGGGGGGGGGGGGGGGGGGTATCTACCAAACTGGTCCTTATATGATGCCCTCCCATCCACCATACTTAGAGCAAATTAGGCTGCTAAGGCTGGTTCCTAAGATTTCTCTTCCTGGAACAGGTGTTTCCCTCTGAATCTCTGGGGCAGGATGGAGTAGAGTCAAAAATTCTTTCTGAGTCTTGTTTCTTAATAACCAGGTTTGCAAATCGGTATTCCAAAAGGCAGTTTCAGGATGGCAAAGTTTTGGTCCCCTTCAGTCCCAGCTGCAGTTGGTCATCTTCACAGATGCAAAGGGCAGAAGATGGAGTCAAAAGTTATAGAAGGATTTTTCGTGGCACAGGGTCCCCACACATGATCCCTGCTTGGGTCAAGGGTCAACCATAGAGGAAAAAAAATATCTGTGTAGGGGGCTGGGCACTTCCTACGGTTTCAGGCCTCACTGAGCGTCTTGGAACCATTCCCCACAAATGGAAGGGATGGCTGTCACGTTCTATGTCGACTTTATCTAGAATTTAAAAACTAGCCTCCTAGTACCTAATTGCATTAAAGTCAGAGAGACAGACGCTGCGCGCAGGGCTTCCGGAGACCACGTTTCCCCAGGTACTGGACCAAGTATGCGGGTTATTTGCATCACACACGACTCCCTTTTGTGGGTGTGCAACACCGCCCTGGACTTTAATCGCTTCAGCAGATGCTCCTCAGGAACAAGAAGGCTCTGGAAGGTTCTCGAAGGTTCCCTCAGGGTCTGCACCAGCCGCGTGGGTCTGACTGGAGACAGTAGGCACCACGAAGTGGGTTTACAACTAGTTCTGGGCCAAAGGCCTTCACAAACTCGTGCAGGAAAGCGTCCGGGAATATGGAGGTTGCCCGCTCTCCAGTCACGCTCGCCCGGGCACAATCAACCTATCATTCAGCACTCAGTCTACACACCCCACCCCACCCCAAGGAACGTCTCTCTCCCAGGCCTTCGATAGTCATTTCGTTAGGGCCCACCCGCGCCCTTCACTCTGCACCCGCTCCGCGCCCGTCAATCAGTCTCGCGCCCGCCTACCTCACGCCCGTCAGTCAATCTGCGCCCGCCCGCCCCTCGCCGACCTGTCCGTCAGCCAGCCTCGCTCGCGGCCCGGCGGAAGGGGTGGGACCACGATGCGGTCGCACGCTCCTCATTGGTCAGCTGGGGGAAAAACTTAGCTGCGCCGCGAGCCTGGCTCCGCCTCCAGCCCGCAGGGAACCGCGGCGGCGGCGGCGGCGGCGGCGGAGGAGGTGGTGAGCGCGGGCGTGGGCGGTGGCGGCAGCGGCTTGGGCGGCGCGGGTGCCAACGCCGTTTAGCCACCGCGGCCTCCTCGCTCTCCACGCCGGCCTCGGAGACGCCGCGCTGGGGAGGCTGGGCGCTCGGTGAGCCCGGCAGGCTGTACCTCTCGGGTCGGCCGGATACAGAAGCGGCCGGGCCTGGAGGGTGGGGAGTGGCGAACCCCGATAGAGGCTCCTCGGGGCGTTGACCCGCGCTTCCGCGGGACCCCCCCGCCCCTGTTGCGTGAGCCCCACCTCTGTTCATTAACCTCCCTTCCTGCCTGACGTCCCCCTCTTCAGCCCGAACACCCCTGCTGCCTGAACCCTCCACTCTGCTGCGTGAGACCCTCTCTGCTCTTCGAACCTTATCCTCTACTAATTGAACCCCCCCCCCACGCCGCCACGCTGCTGCGTGAGCTCTCCTTTGCTGCCCGCAACCCCTTCCTCTGTCCCCCTGTACCCCCTTCTCTCTGTGTGAACCCTTCCTCTGCTGCTCGAATCCCTGCCTGAATCCCCTCTTCTGATTGAACCCCTTTTCTGCTGCCCTAACCCCCAGCCCTGCTAACTGACCTACCTTCGCTGCTGTGGTGAATTCCTCATTTGCACAAACGACCCCCCACCTCATTTGCCTTTATGCTGACAGCCCAGCCAGCTTTCCCATTGATGTAAGGAGCCTCTGCAGCTGTCCCGTCCTTCAGAGATATGGCGGCCAAAAGAACAGGCCTTCCTCTCCGATTTTATTTTTTTGCTCTGCGGTCAACTGGTAGCTCCCTAAATGGGGGGCCATTGCGCATTTCGTCTGCTTAAAATGCTTCCCGTACTGAGGTGCAAGGCGGCCTTCATCATAGAGATGATTTATTCAGGAGCCTTTAAAAAATAATCTAAATACAGGGTTTTGGAAGGGAATTTGGCTGTTATTTATGAAAAAAACCAGGTGCCTCCCTGGGTACCAGGGCCAGTCATCTCTTTTTGGTATCAAGTATCTCCATGCAGGGTTACAACGTGAGGATAAACTCCCATAACCTTTGATATTTAGGGTTCGGTCTGTCTTAAAATCGCCAGTGAACCACGGTAGAAACCACTCTGCAAATTTTGTTGCAGGGTCCATCGCACCAGACCTTCAGGCACCGTGTGCCAAATCCTTACCGCTTGCCACATGAGTCCAAGTCATGACGGACGCCACCTATGTCCTCTGCAAATGGAAAGAGCGATTATGGCCTGCAAAGGTGACAGCGTTATTGTCTAATTTCAGGAATAGAAACGACTTTCAGGTGACAACTAAAATCTTTATCAAGAGAGACATGAGCGTTGCTTCAGTGGAATAATTGAGCCTGAACAGTTGGCTGCTGTTTCTGTTGGCACCAAATCTTGTTCCCCATTTAATGGGGTTTTGGTGGAGTGCTTACAAGGTTAAACTGCTGGAAGTGTCTTTTTTTTTTTTTTCCCACTCTAAAAAAATATTAACAGTCAGTCTAAAAGGCATGTACAGCTCTAATTCAAGGAAATTTTTGGCAGGGAGCCCTATGATAGTAAATAATGGGAGGATCTGGGGACACTTTCGAGCCAAGTGGTAGGAAGAAAGTCAAACTGCAAGGCAGAAGTCCATCCTTGTCGGGATGTTCCATTGACCTCTTGTGCATCTGTTTCTGCACCTGTAAAATAAGGAAGATAAAACAATATCTCTGAAGTTCTGTGCTTGTATACTTAAAGAATTATCTACAATATTTGTATCTGTTGTCAGTGCTTCTTACTTTGTCAGCTGTTCGTTGTGTTGTAATAACAAGGTTTGTTTGTTTGTTTTTTTAACAGGTTTTGACTGGAACTGAGATGTTACCTAAGAGAAAAAAGGAATTGTTTCTAAATGTTCAAATACTCTCCGTAGGCGAAGAGTTAAGTGTTAACGGGTTTTTTTATACTGTATTTTCCCTTACGGGATTTCTGATACCCCTCCAGAAGAATGAAGTTCATGCCTAAAGGCTTATTAAATTAACTCTTTAGTTATTGTAACTGATTAGTGCTCACAATGACCTTAGGAGAACAACTGATTTAATTTTATACCAGTTTGGAAACTGAAGATCTACACCAGGCATTTTGTGTGATATCCAGAGAGACCAGTACAAAAATGGAATAAATATAAATTACAACAGGGTAAACTCATCATTGGTGTTCAAATAGGGTATTTCCTTCCTATGGATTTATTTGTGTGTCTTTTTTCCCCCCCTCAGAAACTTGTTTGATGAGCCTATCCGTTTTGAAATATTTGATGTTTGAGCCTGTCCCCCTAATAAAATACTATTTAGTGTTGAGAAGGCAGACCCATGACTCTGGCAGTACGTTATTGTTTTCTTGATTATCCGGGATGGAAGGACATAAAATCATCTAGAATGAAGATTGAAATGCTTAGATTATGTAAGACTGGTATCGTGTGTTTGATGGAAGAGTTCCCTGTTATAAACAGAATTAAAACAACCCAGAGGGCTCCCGTGGCAGGTCCCCACCCTCATTCAGAGCCTCCCTCTAAGCTTGCTCAGTCCCCAGCTCACTCTTTCCCTGCGGCTGGGGAGATAATTGAATACTTGAATTTGAAAGGAAAGCACATCCTTTTAAACAAAAACACCTGCTAGGCTGTAAACAGCTTTTAGTGACATTATCTCTGAAAATACAACAAAGGAGTTATATGTGCAGTTGAAAGTAGGATTTGCCTTGTAAAAGTCACAATTTGAATTCATTTTTACTCTTAAATCCAGCCAACCTTTTCTGTTTTAAAAAGGGGAAAGAAAAACCATATTCACCAGAGTCCTTGTTGCCTCTAACCTCAGGCACATGATTCCTAGTTGGTTGTAACTTAGTTTAACTGGAGAGTTGTGAAGGAAGAAAACGAGCCTAAGTCTTTTGTCATTTGAAGATAAATGTGTTTGAAAATGTCTCGAAGGCCTGGCAGGTATGGTGTAGCGTATGACTCGTTTCTGTCCTTGCAGAATGAGAGTGAAAAGAACGGAAGCCGAGGTCCTAAGGAAGTCCCACATTGAGGACATTGCTACTTTATTGGGTAAGGATCTGTGAGACCTTAACAAAGGAAAGGAGAGTTTGGGGACATGTAGGGATACAACTCTCCAGGTCAAAATGATCTGATTCACCAGTTAGTCCTGTCACACAAGGGAATGTGAATTCCCTGGGCTTAAGGAAAGGAAGAAAATAGGTGCACTTTCTTAAATCTTTCTAGAATTTGCCCCTAGGGTCAGTCTGTGCTTGACTCCCGGAACAGCCAGGTATCACATCTGCTGGTCACATCCATGGCCTCCAGGGTACACAGAACACAGAATTGGTTTGCTTCCTTGAGAGATGGAATTCAATTCTGAAGCTGAGCCTAGTGGAGATGGCACTATGTGGCTGGCCTGGCCTGACATCAGTATTGCTGGAACTCAGTGTCGTCCCCCCCCCCCCGCCTCCTTTTTATTTTGCATAGGAGAGAGACTGCCTGGGCCTGGCCCCACTGAGGACTGCTGAGGTACCCCCACTTCCCAGGAAACCCCGACCACAGGCAGCCCTGAATTTTCTTTCTCAGAGTGTGGGAGTGCTTGTCCCATGTGCAAGGGACTATTTCTGTTGTGAGAGAGTCGTTCAGAATTCCTTCTGATGGTGTTTATAAAATAGTCTATGTTCTGATGTCTTTGGAAAAGCGTTTTTTTATTGTTCAAAGCAGGTTTCACCCCTGCACACTCCTGGTGTGTCAGCCATCACCTCTTGGTCGCCGCCATCTGTTTGCTCAGTTCATGTTGGGGGCCAGTTATGTGTGGGTGCCTTTATATGAAACACAGAAAGTCCTGTGTTGATGGAGGCTGTGCCCACTGAACTACAAGATTGCATCTTTCACCTGGTTCCCATGAATAGCACCAGGTCTGTGCGTGTCAGAATGAATAAATGATGCTGTTGCGGCAGAGAGGCCAGGCTGAACTCCATGCCCGGGGTGCTCTTTCCTGCCCATGCAAAGAAGTATGGAAAATTGACCAGCCCACAAGGAGTCCTTTCAATACATTCTTTCCCACCCTACCCTCCACCCCAGAATACAGTGCCTTCCAGTTCTTTATTTCTTTGGAGTGGGTTCCCATTGACGCTGATTGAATTGGGAGTTGTCAGGCTGCAAGAGGATTTGTGAACCATCTGAATATGTTTTGCTGGCGGGATTGTTTTGTAATCTGGAGGAATTTATTTTTGTTACCCAATCAGGTCAGAGTCATTCAATTATTTTTATTTATTTGTTTTTTAAACGGAGCCCTGCAGCCCTGAACATAAATCCCACAGCCAGCTATGGTTTCGTAGCCCTGTCCCTCTTTGGGGAAGACTGGGGTGAAGTGTTAGTCCTCCCTTAAGGTGAAAAACTAGCTATAGGATGAGAGCAAGCCTGTAAAGCATGCTCTGATGGCAGTGCCAGGGTGTCTGGATGTCACCAGGCTTTGTTTATCATCCTTCAGCCTCACAGAGCGAGGTTTCAGCAGAACCTGTGGAGGAGTTAACCTACAGACGGTCGCTTCGAGTGGCTCTGGAAGTTTTGAATCAGAGAACCTGTTCGACCCAAGAAAGCTCTTCAAGGGAAGAAGGAACTGCTGTGACTGCAGGAGAGAAACACATGGAACTGGCATCCTCACTCTGTGATCCCAGTCCTTCATTTCTTCTCCATGAGGGGGTGTTGAAGAGGTCCGGACCTGCGAGAAGGGAACGAGTGTATCAGAGGCTATCACGCTCATCCACTGGTGAAAGTGACCTCAAGTGCCAAGCGGACCACAAAAAGAGGACTGGGGAAAGTGAAAGTCCATTTGCCCTGGTGATCTCAGCTGGAGGTGGTTCTCAGGACCGGAGTAGATCAAGAATACACCTCGAAAATGGGACGACCCTGAGTAAAAAGGGAAGAAATTTGGCACAGGAGCCCAGTGGGTGTCGGAATGGCCCTTCCCTTCCAGTGGGAGATGGGGAAAGAGAAAGTGAGGAAGAGGAGGGCGACCCAGCAGCCCAGAGCATACCTTCTGCAGTTAGGAAGCACGGTCTCTGTGCCAAAGGGCGCCACCTGGGTTTGCCATCAGGCAGCCCAACCATGCACTCAGCCTGCCTGGATTCTCGAGACCCACCCACTAAGCAACTGTGCTCCGGTAGCACCCAGAGATCAGGGCCAAGGGGATGCATGATTCTGCGCAGTGCCAGTAGGCCCACCCCCATTGCTCCCTCAGAGGACACAAGTCGTCATGTCCTGGAGGAAGGTAGGTCTGTCCCACCATTGGGACAGGGTGGGGTTCTGGTCCTCAGCCAGATTTGGAGCCAAGCCCAAAGTTTTTTTAAACCAGATCTTAATGAGGTCAGTATCGGAATAGATCAGACAGAAATTTCCCAATTCCTTTTTGTCTGCTTCTCCCACTGGGCTCTAATGACTCCTGCTTCTCACGATATTTGTGTCATTTTTGTTTGGAAGGGGAGGAAGGGAACAGCGGGGCCTGGGGCAGCTGGCCCACAGTTCTGTGTAGCCCTGTTGTGGGAGGCACTGTGGCTGTGAAAATGCTCCCTCCGTCCCCAGGATTAATTTCTTTTTTAAATTTTTAGTTTTTTAAATTTTTAGTCTTTTAAAATTTAAAATTTTTTAAAATAGAGAAAGGGGAAGGGAGGGAGAAAGAAAGGGAGAGAAACATCAGTGTGTGAGAGAGATATTGATTGGTTGCCTCTCGCGCGCTCCCAGCTAGGGACCTGGCCTGCAACCCAGGCATGAGCCCTGACTGGGAATGGAACCAGCGACCTTTAAGTTTGCAGGCTAGTGCTCAGTCCACCAAGCCAGACCCGCCAGGGCTAATATTTATTTCATAATTTTCTAATATTTTTTATTGATTAGAGAGAAATACTGCTTTGCAGTTCCACTTACTTTTTCTTGTATGGTCCCTGACTGAGGATTGAACACACAACCTTGGTGTATCAGGACCACAACCTAACCGACTGAGTTTGCCAGCCAGGGCTCTCTTTTCTTAGATGGTTGCAGAAGTGAGAACACAGGAACCTCCAAGTGATGAACTCTAGAGGCTCTTGACTTACCCGGAATTCCAATGTAGACACATTTCTGTGTTGCTGCAATTGGACGCTGTGATTTTTTCCCATTTTCACATCGTAGCATCCCACTTCCTTTTGAAATGCTAATTAGGATATCTTCATTTCTGCTTGCTGGGGTGTCTCGAGTTCACTTGCTACGCACCTACCGTCCAGAGTTCTGTCCCGAGTCCAAGCTTCCTTCACGAGGCTCGCATCCTGACATATTCACAGGCTGCACTTCCCCAGAACACTGGTTTTCACCTCCCACCTCCCCATGTTCTGAATACAGCCCTGCCTTGTCCCTCAGTTGTACCCCCATCCCTGACATTGACTGACAGCTTCACACTGGAAAGAAATAAGCCCCGCAAAAGGGATCCCGCCCGGAATGCAGTCACCTTCCTGTGATGTCCATTGCTTTTTGTGCCTTCCAGCTTCAGTGTGAAAGGCATCCCCCTCTCTGTCTCACCCTGTGTCTCATTTATTTGTCTTTTAAATGCCCTCTAATGGAAGTGCACCCCACTTGAATCGGGCAGTGTGGAAGTCTGTGTAACATGGGATCTGTTCTTACTGATGGTCACGGATCACGAAGTGTTTTTCTTGGGATGAGCCACTGACCATGAAAGTCTAATCTGACATTATTGGCAGACCGTCAGTCTTCTGAAGAGTCAATGGAGTTTGATCCCATTAATTCCATTCTGGAGGAGGAAGAGGAGGATGAGGAGCTCCCAAGAATCCTTTTATATCATGGTAAGACATTAAGAATTACCCAGGGAATGGCATTGGGGCCGGTGGGCATGATCTCAGGTATCTCTATCTGTCCTTTGTTTTTCTTTTGCTGAGCCAAGACCTTGGAAAGTGCCATACTTCTGGTTCCTTGCCTTAAGTTTAGCCACACAAAGGAAGGAGGGACTCTGTTAGCACATGGCTTTGTTCCCTTACTGTGCTGTTCCCTTGTCGGAACAGGACAACCAAGTGAATAGGTGAGCTCCCAGACCACCGTCAGGATATGACCTGACACCCTTCACAGGCTTTTGGAGACGGCGTCCGTGTGTCTTTCAGAGGCAGGAGTTTGCATCTTCCCACACATGCTGCCTGCTCTGAGCACACCACCTTGAACAGGTCAGCTAGGGGCCCAGATTGCAAACTGACCACACAAAGTCGGTTTGCTTCATGAAAAAAGTGATTGAGAACCAATTCCCATGTTAGATTCATCCATTAACCTCTCATGTTAACAGAGTCTTGCCTGTTTTTCTTTTTTAACCTTTCAATTTTGGAAGAATTATAGATTCACAGGATATTGCAGAAATAGCACAGGGAGGTATGGGGACCTCTCCCCCAGCTTCCCAACGGCAACAGCCTACAAGACCAGGAAGCCATGACCCAGGCTGTCCCCATGTTTCCTGTGCTGCCTAAGTATCCCTGTCAGTCTTTCCTCCCAAACCACTGAGTGCTTTTCTCTCACTGTCACTGTACTTACAGGTTTGCATTTTCCTTTTCTTTTTTTCCCCAAACCTAATGGTAATTTAGACTTTTTTTTTTTTTTTTTTTTTTTTTTTACATTTCCACATAGTGTTCTGGTTATTTTCTGTGGAAACTAGTTACTCTTTACTAGGAGTGACAGGCAGTCACTTACTGAGCCTCCTCCACTGTTGGGTGTTTAGATTGTCCCACGACTATGGGGGACAGTGTCCGTGGCACATGCTTCTGCAAAATAATTCTGTAGCGTAAGCTCCTTGAGCAGGGCTTACTGGGCCACAGAGAAGGGACACTGCCTTTTCCCAGGAGGCATATTTGCCACCAGATGCGGGTCAGGTTGCCTAGGCACCCAAAACCTGAACATTTGCCGTTTCTCCTGGTTCCTGTTTCCATTTGGTTTGGGTTTTTCCGGTCATCCTGATTATGAGGGTCTTTATTCTTGGTCTCTGAATTGGCCATCTGCGCCCTGACCCACTGTCCTCTGAGAAAGGGAGGCTTGTCATGGGGGTAACTGCCCCTCACAGACCTGTGGAAGGCAGTTTCTCAGTTTGCCCTCCCTCAGTCTTGCTTCTTACTGTGTAGAGTTTTAACTATTAGGTATTCGGACAGCATGGCTTCGCGTTCCTCACAGTGTGTCAGACGGAGGATCCTGGCTCTGTGTCAGATACCAGCCTCTTTTCTCCAGGGGTTTGTTACTCAGTTTTTTAAACATTTAAATTATTTACTCATTTGGGGAGGTTTTGGTGGAATGTAATTTAATTTTGTTCAGAGATAATTTTGTAATTCTCTGATGATGATTTAAATAATTCTCTTTCGCCTTAAAAGCCCCCAGTTTCTCACAGATGAGCTCCTCAGAAAGTTTTCACATTGGGTCTTCATTGTGTACCATTGGCTCCATTTTGGTTTTTTACCAGCACTTTAAAAAACAAAGAAATGTTTATTTTGGAATAATTTGAGATTCATAGAGACATTGCTAACATGATACAGAGTCCCTGCTACCAGCTTCTCCTGTTTCACCACCTATGTGACCATGGCATATTGTCACCATTAGGAAACCAGTGTGGTGCCAACCATTCAGTGTGCTCATAATCAGCCCTGACATTCCAGGATGAAAGTTAAATACCTCTTCGGTCCTTTAAGTGAACTGTGTTAATTAACATCGCAATTAAACATTATCGCAGTAACTGTGTTTTCTCAAGCTGATGCGTTTGTTGTTTGACATGGATCTGAGTTGTCTGTTCTTTTTGTTTTCCTTTCTTTTTAATTCTAGAACCACGTTCATTTGAAGTAGGAATGTTGGTCTGGCTTAAATACCAAAAGTACCCCTTTTGGCCTGCAGTGGTAAGAACAACTCTATTTCCTAAGTGGGGTTACTCAGTCCCCTCGAGATTTGGACCTGGGCAAATGTTTTCACCATTTCATTATTACTAGGAAAAGTGATGGGCTTACAAGTAGGATTTCTGAGACACATGTACCTAAATAAAGGGAATTTAGTCGTGGCACCAACAAGAGTGAGATTTACAGGTCAAATTTTTACCAACCAGGCGTAGAAAAACTTGCCTGAAAAAAAAATATCCACAATTTGCTTATTTTAAATGTTGTGCATTTCAGAGGTTTTCCATTTCAGAGTTTTTTTGTTTGTTTTAATCCTCACCCGAGGACATTTTTTAAGAGAGGAAGGGAGAGACAAATATCGGTATAAGAGAAGCATTGATTGGTTGCCTCCTGTATGTGCCCAGAACGGGGAGAGAACCTGCATCCTTTTGGTTATGGGATGATGCTCCAACCTACTGAGCCACACCATCCAGGCCCTCTTGTGGGACCTTTTGAATCTTTTAGATTTTGGGGTGGGGCATGTTGTATGTACAAAAACAGGCATTTGAGATACTGCTCAGTGCCCTGGTGTGGTGAATGAGCTTACATGTAGCCAAGTTTGTGGCTTTGCTTTCTGTCTATGCCAGGCATTGCAAATGGTAAGTTTGTTGTTTAGGCAAAGGCACTGTCTTGGCAACTTTTCCCCCTTTCCCCTTTTATCCTCCTCCAGCTGAGACAGGATCTGCATGATTCTAGATGGAGTCTTATAATTTATAGCGAGAGACAGTGGCATTTAAGTTGGAAAGGTATTATTCGTAGTCAGGAACAGCTGTGTTGTCTGGATGAGTCTGACTTGCAAGTCAGCAGGGCCTACTTGTATGGGGCGGCATGGCTATGGGAAGGGCAGAACCAGACCCTGAAGTGTCGTGGGTAGAATTTATAGCTTGAGCTCGCATCTGGTGAGCAGGGCGTCACAGTCCAGCCCCTGGCACAGTTGTGGCTGTTTATTGGTCCCTCTTCCTCCCTCCAGCGTGTACTGCATCCTACCTGCAGTAGGTACCCTTTTCCTGGCCCTTTCAGCCCGTTATGCCCTTTCCTTGTTTTCACCAGTTCGCTCGGGGCCATGCTGGTTAACAGGTCAGCAACATGACATATTCTTTGGGTGACATTTCAGGGGCACGAGTGTCCATAGCCACACTTGACAGTAGAACCTGTGTGCATCCTGTGAGGCGCTGCAGAAAGGGGCTCCTTGGCCTTCACAGTCTGAGAGCGCAGGTTTGGGTCAGGCCCTGCCTCCCTCTCATGTGCCCTGGGCTGGTCCTGAACCAGCCCTCCTCTGCCATAGGACAGTCAGCCACGATGATTACTTGGAGATGGCTGGCCGCAGCAGGTGTGGTAGCTTTTATTTAAATACGTAAGAAAACCCTGTCTTATTCTGCTGAGTTGTAAAGCCTCTTAGCCATGCATGCAGCAAAATTTGGGCAGTTCCTAAGAATGTTACCATGTGGGCTTCACCTCTGTCCCCCAGCCAGTGGCATACCCTGTCACACATATCAGTTAGTCATCTCTCACTCAACCAAATGGTGTCAGAAAAGTTTAAAACCCACTGCTTCTCCTGGGTTCTTGATACTTTTGTTTTCTTGGCTTCACCCATAGGTCAAGAGCATCAGGCGGAGAGACAAGAAGGCAAGTGTGCTTTTCATTGAAGGACACATGGACCCGAAAGGGCGAGGGTGAGCCCACCATCCCTGGCTCTATGGATGTTTCCTGAAACAGGATCTGGGGAGCAGGCGTCTGGGGGGGTGGTGCTAGATTCCACAGTTCCACAGCTCAGTTTTCCCACCTTTATTTGTTGGCCTTGAAAGGCCGCCCAGCAAGATGTGCATCAGACCCCCATTTTCCACAAATTAGCAAAGGTGGCTCCCTTCATGCAGGTCATAAGCAGCAAACCTGACGCAATCTGAATTTTGCCATGTGGGTCGTTGCCCGTCTTTCTGCACTCGCCCTTCGTCATGGGGTAAGAACGCACATAATGTGTCACTGTGTTCCCAGTGGGCTCTGAAGGCATGAGACTCCTAGTCACCGAGGTGTCTGTGGAGCTGATCCTCTCTGACCCTCTGTTACTTGGGTGCTGCCACCTCTCCCTTGGTCACTAGCAGTGCGAAGATTGGGCCCTGGTATCTGCCTGTCCTGCACAGTGGCCCCAGCAATGTCTCTTTAAGGGCCCAGTCAAGGGTACCCGTTATCCCAGGGCCTGGCTACAAGGGGCTTCCTCAGGCAGCTGGGGATGGTAGTTGCCTTGGGTGACTAGGTCTGGCAGAGGCCCCAGCATAGCTCCTACTAACTTTGTCAGAGGCAGAGAATGTATTCTTTTAGGTCATGCAGTGTCCTCCACGTATATAACCTTTTCTCTGTTTCCTGCAGCATCACAGTGCCTCTCAGGAGGCTGAAGCACTTCGACTGTAAAGAGAAACAGGCACTTCTGGTAGGTGGCTTGTTACCTGTCCTTCGCTAAATAGTTCCCTTGTGATTGGTGACAGTGTCCTTTGTGGAATCTTTGAAACCACTGTCGTGGGGTACTAGGTGCCTGCCGTGTCAGCTCTTGCCACTACCCTTGTGGGTTCCTGCATGGGACTCTCAACCAGCCGGGAGCTTGCCACCTGTCAGCCCTGTTGTTCAGGGTTGAAATAGAGGCTGCGGTACAAGGAGCTGTTTGTTCCTGGCTAGGGGGTTAGGTGGCAGAGAGCCTGGGCATGAGGCCCACTCCTTCCAGCTACTTCTGAGGCCCCCTCTTGGGATGAGGCACCAGGGCCCCTTAGAGTAGGGACCCCGCCCCACCTATTACCTGAGCACAGCATGGGGCGGGGCCAGGACACTCCCTAGGGTACCTGCTGTGCTTCTAGTGGCCGCATCCCCACCATTCTGTGATCAGCTTTGTTGTACAGGAGTCTGTGAGCCATGAGGGGCCGCTCCATTCAAAATGCTGACTTGCATTTTCAGCCTTGAAAGACTGCTTTTTGTTGTTCCAGCTTTCAAAAAACCCAAACTGGGCTTCAGGGGAGACTCCTGCCTGCACCCTACTTTAGGAGTCCCCACAGCAGTTGCCAGGGTTTCCTGGGTTTCGAGGTTGGGAAGCAGTCTGTATCTGAGCCATATTCTCAGTGCTGGGATCTGGGAAGCTTGCTGCCTATGCCTGTGCCATTTCCCTGAGGATAACAGGCCTTGGGCTGCAAGGGTGGGCGGGTGTTTAGAAGATTGGAAACCACACCAGACCCCAGCCCTTTTATTTCCCTGATTTGCCCATCTCCAGAACATGAGCCTCACACCATCTGTCTTGTCTGAGTTTGTTCACTGCGATGTCTAACCCACAACCAGCGCCAGGCACCTAGTGCCTATCAAAGTGCCTGTCAGTGGGGCCTGGGTCCCAGCATCCCTGAATGCCGATCTGCTTGTATGTGGAGCTGCTCACCCAGCCTTCCAGGCCAGGAGCCACCTGACTCTTCTAAGTGTGGTGTGCATTCTTAGGGGCCTGTAGCTTTCCCACGGAGGGTACAGAAAGGAGAGTGGGAATTTTGCTCTGAGATCTTGTGAGATGCAGGATGGCACATGGGCTTTGTGTGGTTCAGATGCCTGGGGGACATCCATGGCCAGCTTCCTGTTCCCCAGATTAATCTGTAAGATGGATGTGTAGGGGAGCACAAGGGCCCCTTTCCTCTGAGTAGCAGTGAGCAGCACCTCCAAGGGGTAGTTGTTGCGTGTTCTGGGTTGTTGATGGATTGCCTTTCACAGCCTCTGCTGACCTTTGTTTGACTGTCACTGCTTTGTGGCATCTGTAAGGCCCCCTGTGTCTCCTTTCCTGAGGAGCCGCACTGCCTACCAAGCCAGGTGCCAGCCAGTTAGGCCTCCTCTCCCCACCACCAGAGCTGTTTGCTATGCTTACATCCTGTGCTTGCTTCATGCTGTGACCACAGGGGAGAGACTGGGCCAAAGCAGTGGTAACTCAGGATGTGGGTCTCAGGTTCATCTTGAGCCTGTGGGCATTTCCTGGGAGCTTGCCCCATCTCAGGAAGCCTCGCCAGTTGTATTGTCCTTGGTTTGGTAGTTGCCAAGTGTCCCTCCCTCCAGCCTTATGCTGCCCCACTCCCAAGTGCGGAGCACAAAGACATCTCTTAGAGGGATTTATTTTACACGACTTTAATGTCTTCTCCCTGTGGTGGTCATGGCAACTGCAATTTTGGGTGTTTACCCACCACCTTCTTAGAGTCTTCAGGTCTCTGGCCCAGAGCCAGGCTCACAAAATACCATGTTGTGAGCAGCCCAGGTCTCTGGTCCAGAGCCAGGCTCAAAAGGGCCCATGTTGTGAGCGGTCCAACCCCAGCCCTGAGCCTTGCCAGGCCTTCCCTGCAGGCCTTGGGAGCCTGGCCTGGGAACGCTCATCCTTTCTCCTCTGCAGGCTGTGGTTCCAGTACCTGGACAAGGGCATTGAGATAGCAGGCAATGGTGAGCCACCAGCAGACTCCCATTGATGCTTGCTGTCTCTCTCATTGCAGAACAAAGCCAAGGAGGACTTCGACCAGGCCATTGGCTGGTGCATCTCCCTGATCACTGACTACAGGGTCCGGCTTGGTATGTGGGACCTCCACGGCATCGGGCAGAGACAGCAGTGTGGGGCCTCCTTTGCAGACCCTCTAGTCAGGGCTGAGCATGGCCCGTTCCCCATGGTAGTCTGACGAGGGCCCTGATAGTCGTGTCCCCAGCACAGGGGGTGAGTAGGTGCCCAGGCAGAAGTGGGGATTTTGGGCATGGAAAAAAAGTTTTGAATCAGAGCTGTTTTCAGCCCACCCCAGGTTGGGCTGTTGGGAATCTGAATCAGGCTTGTTAGCAGAAATGCCTGGCCTTTTCAGGGGCTCCAAGGTCTGTGCTGCATTAGCCCTCGCTGGAACGGGTCTGCTCGGACCTGAAACATGACCCTACAGCCTAGGAGTTTCCAGAGCAAACCTCGTGTGATATGTCTTCTCCCATCCTTTCCCCTCTGCAGGCTGTGGTTCCTTCTCTGGCTCTTTCCTGGAATATTATGCAGCTGATATAAGTAAGTGCACCAGCTTCTCTTGAAAAGCATGACCCACTTAAAATCTGAAAGCAACAGATGCCCCAAGCCTGCTCCTGGAAATTGAGACCATGCAGCCTAGCCTGGTGTCCACAGGGCACCCCCAGGTCTCCTCTCCCTGCTCTAGGGACCTGGATGGCAGGTCTATGTCCAAAACTGTCCTGTCAGCAGTAACACAAATGTTAAAATACACGAACAGCACTTTGCTTTTCTCTTTCTGTTTTCAGTTACTGACAGCCACATACTATCCCATTCCTTCTGTCCTTAAAGAGGGAGGTAGATGAATTAATGCTGCTTTCAGGGGGCAAGGGGGCTCTGAAATTTCAGGTTAAACTTGGCTGAACAGCAGAGTTGGGAGAGAGGTGAGGGCTTCTGACAAAGGAAGAGCCCTTTAGGAATGTGGCTGCCCCAGTGTCCCCAGGGCCTGAAGCCTCTCCCACCCCCACAGGATGTGAAAGGGATCCCAGCTGGCTGGGTGGCGGTCCCATGGATATGTGCCTCCTCTGCAGGCTATCCTGTCCGCAAGTCCATCCAGCAGGATGTCTTAGGGACCCGGTTCCCTCAGCTCTGCCAGGAGGACCCCGAGATGCCTGTGGCTGGGAGCCCCTGGGGCAGGAGGCAGCCCTCCAGAAAAGTCCTGCCCGACCGCTCTCGGGCCGCCCGGGACCGTGCCAACCAGAAGCTGGTGGAGTACATCGTGAAGGCGAGGGGCGCTGAGAGCCATCTGCAGGCCATCTTAAAGAATAGGAAGCCATCCAGGTGGCTGAACACATTTCTGAACTCGGGGCAGTACATGACGTGTGTGGAGACATACCTGGAGGATGAGGAGCAGCTGGACCTCGTGGTGAAGTACTTGCAGGGGGTGTACCAGGAGACGAGCAGCAGGATGCTGACACAGATCAGTGGCGACAGGATCCGCTTCATCCTGGACGTCCTTCTGCCTGAAGTGAGTGGCCCGCAGCATTCTCTGCGTGAGGGTGGTGGGGGTCTGTGGTGTGGCCCCAACCGGAATCCCAGCCTAGCTTTGCTGAGGCATGGGCTGTACCAGGCGCGGGGCGTGGGGCGGTTTGGTGCTGGGATATTACCCTCCCAAAATCTGCCTGGAGACCTTTGTATTGTGGAGCCCAGCACTTGCCTAGCCACTCCATGGGCGGTGGCACAGATCCGAGATGTTCTGGTTTCATTGCCAGCCCTGGAAGAAGGAGATGCAGGTTTCATCTGCATGCACAGGTAGTGACTGTTCTGGAATTTACTCAGGTAAAGGGAGTTTTAACTTTCCTCAGTGTTGGCACTGGGCTGGCCAAGGAGCAAATATGGCTCCACAGTTACTGTTAAGTTCAGAGAGGGCACTGCCTGGCATATGTGCACAGTGTGAACAAGACATTGTCAAATGCAAATGTGTTCAATTTTATATTTGTGAAAAAGTCTTATATATACAAACACAAAAGAATGTCAAGAGCCCTATGTGTTCATCTCTTGGCATTGAGGGGTTGGGCCCAGGGATGCTGCTCCATACCTCACAGTGCCCAGGATGACCCCACAGAGAGATCTGGCCCTGATGCTTATTGATGTAACTACAGTACTGTTATTTCACCTAAGAAATTGACAGTAGTTACTTGATACCAGATATCTATTAGTTGTTCAAATCACCACTATCGTACCTTTTTTTAACAATAAACTCAAAATTTTTCAAAAATGCACTTGTTTGGGTGCTACTTTTCATTATATGTTTTTAGGACAGGACCTTTCATCTCTAATCCAGAAGGTAATGTTACTGATTTAATTCATAAACTTGTATTACAAGCAGAGCCATCACAGGTTCCATCCATACCTTTTGAGCCATAAACGGGGATGTATGTGGAGGCCAGCATGTGGTCAAACTGGCCCCATGTGGATTTCTCAGAGTTTAGTGCCACAAGTGGCCTGGCCCGGTGTTGACCTGTCCCCACTCTTGCAGGCCATCATCTGTGCAATCTCTGCGGTGGATGCGGTAGATTATAAGACAGCCGAGGAGAAGTACATCAAAGGACCTTTGCTGAGCTACCGGTAGGCTGCTCAGAGCCCTGCCCCAATCATTTTGCAGCTTATCTTCCAAGGCTTTTATGTGCACACATACTAGTATCTGGGACTGAAGCCCCTCTTTTTGACATGTTGGACCAGATGCCCACTTGGTAAATGAGTCGCATAAACCTAAAAATACACATTAACACTTGGCCAGTGAATTACCAGATGAACTGTTAAAGCCAGCAGTGAAAGTTCTGTCCTCTGGCCAGTTTGGGCCATGGGCCCTGGCCCTTGAAATGGACACAAGCCCAGGACCCACATAGAGGCCCATGGGGCAGCAGGGTGACCACTGGACATGTGGTTAGGCCTCTGTGCCTAATCTCCTGTTGCTGGGGGCTGATGTTTGTATTTCCAACTCTCCTGTTGCAGTGCCATAGCTACTTGAGAACAGGCAGCACTTGGCCTGATGGGTCTTTGCCAGTTAGAGAAGGCTCGGATCAAGATGTTTCTCTCACATTGGTGTGGTTAGCTGCCCTTGGAGTTCTGGCCCCAAAGCCCCTAATCCCGTCTGGGCGTGCTGCCAGTCCTTGCTGGGAACAGGCATGACCGTGTGCCAGTGACAGCCTGAAGACTCAACTAGAGTCACAGGCCAGGGACTCCATCCAGGGTCGACTGGGCACTGTCATGGGACAGGGTTGAAGACGCTCGGCTTCCTTCCCAGGAAGAGCCCAAACATATGCAGGGGGTTAGGGAGGGCCACCTGGCAGCCACGGTGGATGACAGGCTTTCTATGCAGCTGCCCACAGAAGGGTCACTTGGCTCTTTGTGCAGCTGTCTTGGGCCCTGGCCTGGTGGCTCGATCAGAGGTTTCTATACACCAGAAGGTTGCGGGTGCAATTCATGGTCAGGGCACATACCTAGGTTGTAGGTTTGATTCCCCAGTCAGAGCACATATAAAAGGCAGCCAGCCAGTTGGTGTTCCTCTCTCTCATCCTCTCTCTCTAAGATCCATAATTCAAAATATCCTCGGACGAGGGTACAGAAAAAAGGACTGTGGCCTTGGGAGGTGGAGAGCAGAGCAGCAGCACCTCGGAGCGCAGCCCTCTGCTCCTGTGACTGCATCTCCACCTCCATTTCCTTCCTTCTGCTGGCTTGCCGGCATTGAGTGTTAGGAGGTCTTTGCTGCCTCTGCCTGCCACGAACATGTGAAATGCCCCTGAAAATGGGGTTCACTGGCTGTCACTGAATTAGGGTGAAAACACCAGCCCCATTTTATTCTCTCAGGGACGTGGTCTAAGGAACACGATTAGCAATTGGCCTGTTCCTATCATGTGACCTGTTTTCAGCCACATGGTCTGTCTGTCACAGGATCCATTCACCTTTGTGTTCCTCTCCCCTTGTAAGTTAAGAGGTGGTGCACACACCTGCCTTTATGACACTGCATTGCAAAGGTGTGTGGACGGTGAGCAGTGCATGCTGTTTCCGCCGTGCTCTTTTCCAGCTGCCTGCGTTCTTTTTCTGATCTGACTCTCTCTCTCTCTCTCTCTCTCTCTCTCTCTCTCTCTCTCTCTCTCTCTCTCTCTGTCTCTCACCTCACCAGTGTTCCCATGTTTTGCTAGGCAATCTCAGAATCAATGTTCCTTGTTCACCTCTATCCTGAATGTTGCGGCCAGCCAAGTGATTGTTAACACAGTGTTTCGTAACAGGGAGCCACCTAAGGATAATTTGATATTTCAGACTTTTAAAAATTATTTTTACTTAGTTGTGGTAAAATATACATAACATGACATCACCATCGTAACCATTTTTAAGTGCACAGTTCAGCAGCATTAAACAAATGCACGGTGTTGTGCAACCGTCACTACCATCATCTCCAGAATTTTCCATCTTCTCAAACTGAAACTCTGCCCCATCATACACCAACTCCTCTGTTTCATGCTCTTTAAAACATGATTAATTACTAAAATGAAGATGTCACTTTTTGTCTTCTGAAGGGAAAAAGAAATGTTTGACAACCAGCTCCTAGAAGAAAGGAACCAGCGATGCTGACATGGGAAAGCACCATCGTGTGGTAGTGAGAGCTGCCTGAGGCCCCTGTTCTGTTGAACACGTTTTCTGGAGATGGGATTGGGGAGATGTGTATATCAGATGTATCTGTGGTTTCTATTTTCCTGGCTTTTTGGGAAAGATACAGTGTCCTGAAAGGTTTTTAGAAGGACAAAAATGACTTATTTTGCTTTATATCATTACTTGTGACTGTATGGAATAGTTTAATATAAGGTACACATTTGTCTTTTTATGTTAAAAAGCATTGTATCCGATATTAAACAGGAGTTTTAAAAAAAAAAGTTTGATATGAATGTATAGCTCCAGAGACATTGTGTATTTTTCCACCTCCCCCCACCCCCCCCTTGCCTTGTGTGGTTTCCTCTTAAGATGGTTCCTGAGTTTGGTGTGCTTCCTTGTACTTGTTTGAGGAAAACTAGTGTTTATAAAAGATGGAACCAAAAACCAGCTGCCTTCTTGTGCTTTAGCGCTTGCTGTGTTGCTTGTGCAGGACAAGAGATGGATGTAAATCTTTCCATGACCTCTTTCCCCTCGGTCTCATGCGGGGGGTCTGTGCTCCAGACAGATGCCAAGGCCGCCTGTCCTCTATGGATATCCATGCATGACAGCATTTGTCGAAGCGCTGGGCACTGTTACCACCCAGCCAACCCTGTGGTCTCAGTAATCTGCATGGGTACCTGTGATGATCCTGTGTGTTTACTGCTCCAGCACGGACAGCTAAGGTCATCATGCACGGAATTGGGCTTTCTCGTTCCTTCCGGAAAGCATGAGACAGGTCTCAGCCCCAAGGACCCTGGCTTGGGACCCTAGCTGTGTGCAGACCCATACCTCATTTTCACTTGGCCAAGCCTCGAATATGGGTACCAGTCAGAGCCACACACCCATGAGTTATTTATTCTAAGATGATGTGGCAGTAAACATTGGTGATGTTAACATCAAGGCCCTTCCCCATTGTCACCACCCTGGCTTCATTGTCACCACTGGGCTGAGGTCAGTGCCCCCACTGTGATAACAGTGCCCTCTCTCCTGATGTCCCACTCACCCAACAGGAATTAACCACAGAGGGTAGTCAGAAGGAGGTTTTTATGGGATGCACAAGGAGGGGTACCATCGTGCCCCAAGAAGTCTGAGCAGGAAAGAGTTGCAGAAAACACCTCTGCAACTCTTTGGTTCACCTCAGAAACACCTCTGGTTGGTTCGTGGGACATGCTGGGGAAATGGCATGCAACCTTGGGACCCCAGAACTCTGCTGGTGATCTTTGTATCAGTTGATTTTGCTCAAATATAAGAGCAGGAAATCCTTACATGTGGCTCTGGTGGCCCTGCTGTCCCTCCCAGGTTGGCCAAGGGTGGCTTGGGAGGAAGGAACTGGTGGCCCAAGGCCAAAACAATGGTGGGTGGGGGTCTGCATCTGATAGCGAAGGCCCCCGATGCTTGGTAACCTGGCTCCGCACAGGTCAGCCTTCTGAGCAGAGTCCTCCATCCAGACACAGGATGGCTGCACTCGCACTGCCAAAATGGGCCTGGCTCCCTTCCAGGAAAGTCCAACAGCGCCGTCTACTGACAGCAGTCCTCCCTGAGACCAGTCAGCAGAGAAGAGTTTCCTGTCTGAATGAATACACTGGCTGCTTTCTTGAGTGACAAATGTACATGGGGCCCAGTGGAAACCCTGTGGCCTACATGGGGCTGTTCTGTTACTGTGAAGTATTTTTAAATTCCTGGTGGGTTTTTTCCCTCTAATCTTCACTGTGTTTCAAATCTGTGCTTGTAGACTTGAACCATTACGATGGGAAGGAATTGTCATTTGGGAGATCTGACTGCTTTCCTAGGCTCCACGTGCCCACATGCAGACATGCAGTCTCCCTCAGCCCCATCTGAGGAGATTTCTAATTCACAACCTGGTCCCAGTCCCAAAAGGTGTTTTCAGTGCTTGATGTGTTTTTGTGGATTCTAAGGGTATTTGTATTTGGTAGTGGTGGCTAGTGGGGTCGGTACGGGTCTCTTTTCTCTCTAAATGGGTGGTGGTGGTAGTTCAGGAAGTCACAGCCAGATTACCTGCCAAGTGAGGAATGTCCTAGAAGGCCTGAGAGGTGGCCACTGCCCCTGGGGAAGCTAGGGCCACTTCACTGCTTCTGAAGGATAGAGAAGATGGACTTCACCCAACAAAAGGCGGAGCACAGTTAAGAGTACTCCACCCATTCACACCCTCCTGCACCCCCTGTTCTCAATGGTGATGGCTTCCCTTCTGTATTCTGGCAGCTGAGCCTGTGTACCTTACAGCGGCTGTACCCTCTGTACTGCTAACACAAGTTTGTGGGGTGGGAGTGGGAAAGGTGGAGTTCAGCTGCAGCCCCGGCCCCATTCACTTGCCAGGAGCACCTTCATAAACTGATGGGGATGTTGCTGCCTTTCCCTGTCACCCTCACTATGGAGGTAGTGACTCCTACCTGCTTCCTCTGCCCCTTCCGGGGAGCTTTGTCAGGCTAGTTGCTCAAAGTTGCTAGCACATCTGCTGGGTTCTCTCTGCTGCTGTTCCCCTGTCCTCCCTTCAGGACCTCCTGGGGCGCTTCCCTCCACCCCTGCCTTCCCCAGTCCAGCCTTCCACTGAACCTCATCCAGACCCTGTGACCCTGTGACCACACACTGCCTTCCCCTATGGTCAGTTGACTCCTAGCACCAACCTCCCTAATGGAGCAGTCAAACCCACCCTCAGGGAAGTAGCACCTTTCTACAGAACCACTTCCTGGATTCTCATTGCTTAGCGCTGGCACTTCTGCAAGTCTTAAGTTAAAAAAACAAAAAAACAAAAAATTTTGCCCTGAATGGTGTGGCTCAGTGGATAGGGCATCATAGTTCAAGCCAAAAGGTCGACGGCTCAATTCCTGGTCAGGGAACATACCTAGGTTGCAGATTCAGTACCAGTCGGATTGGTGCCAAATGGGAGAAAATCGATCAATGTTTCTCACACTGATGTGTCTCTGTCTCTCTCTCCCCACCTTTCTCTCTAATATCAATGTATCTTTGGACCAGGATTTTTAAAAAATAAACGATATACAAGTAAAAAGTGTTCTTGCAAGCTATTTTGCCAGTTTTGGTGTTCAATAGTGCTTGTTTTTATAATTAACACTGGTAATGCTACCCCTAAAAAAAAAAAATCGGCTTGGGGGAATGGGACGTTTAGGCTGAAAATCATAGTCTTGGAGGTGGAACAGGGGTTTAAGTACCTTCCTCTGTTCGTCCCACATTGGCATGAGTGGCAGCCCCACTCTTTATCTGCCGAATGAGGACACATTCTGGTGAAGGCAGAAACTGCACCAGGCGGGAGGGAAGGATAAGGATTCTAGCCAGGGGCGCTGAAAATCCTGCCGAGACCCAGGATCGAACCAGGAATCTTTAAACCTTCAGTCCCGCACTTTTCCAGCTGAAGGTTTTCGGATGGGTAGCAGGTGTCGCTATTGTCTGCATTCTATCCGGTTCCACGCAGACAGACCCGCGCAGGCGTATCTCGCGTCACATTTACCGATCGCGCATGCCTCGTAGGGCAGCGTTTGTAGCAAACTTTCAGCTGTGTCTCTGTGGCGCAATCGGTTAGCGCGTTCGGCTGTTAACCGAAAGGTTGGTGGTTCGAGCCCACCCAGGGACGCGATCTTGTTTTGGCTTCTCGGTTAAGGAAAAAGTGGGCAGACCCTTGCTCTTTTGGAGACACACTGCCACGTCCTTTTACCCCTCGTGGGGCGTCAGGAGTGCAGGTCGTAGAGGACGGCCGCGGAAGCGGAACGTTCGGGGTCTAGGTTCCAGTTTCCGCTCACTCGCCGAACCACTTTGGGCGAGGATCGATAAGACCCGGATCGCTAAAGCTGACGGACCGCAGAGGTTATCTGAAGGCCGAGGCCAAGATGGCGGCGCTGTCGGGTGAGCGAGCCGGGGCACCTGGGTCAGGATTCTCTCGGGGAAACTGAGGCTGGGGTAGCGTACACAGGCACGCCAGCCTCGGGAGGGCGCCAGGGCGGGACCCGGATGGGGTCCTGGCTCTGCCCAAGTTGCTTCCCTGAAAGGTTCCGAGAGAAGCGGCTTGTGGATTGCCGCTCCGACTGGCGGGGTAACTGAGGCCCGGAAGGGGGTCGAAACACCCCAGGAAGGTGACATCACTCGCACAGCAGGCGTCCCAATTTGGCCTGCTCCCGGGACCTTCGTCTTGGAATTAGTGGTTAAACGCATACGATGAAATCCACAGGGTTTCTGGGTTTCTGCAAAGGAAAGCGGTTTCCCCGAGACAGGATTTTGTCTTGAAACCGAGTTGGCGAGTTCCTCGTTCAGGTGCTTGGTTATTAACGCTCGAAATCCAGCAACAAGTGTGGCTGCTATGATTTTGAAGGATGGGTGGAAATGTCTGCAGCCCTTGTGACGCCGTTGGGAAATGTCCGTGATCTCTTTTGGTAAAAACTACGGGTCCTGTGGTTTGTTGACAACATTCAGAATTGAAAGAAAGGCCAATTTTCAATAAGATGGTGACAACAAAGACGGTATTTTTATTTCCTGTGGAAGTTCATGGGTCTACTGATTTGTTAAGGGCATTTACTGAGCTGTGAGCTTGTGCAAAGCCCTAAATTTTTAGGTGGGGAAACTGAGGCTCAGAGAGAAGCAGCTCAAACAGGAGCCTGGGGCTGGGCAGTTAGCCCATCTTCCTGTGCTTGTTTCTGTGGGTTTGTTTACTTAACACACACTCATCAGCTACAGTCAAGGCTGAGGAGACATTGGGGTTACCTCAGGAGATCTTAGCATTGTTGCTGGGGAGGCAGGCACCACACAAACATGCACAGGTAACATAAAACAGGGTGACAGGATTGAGAGAGCCTGGGGTCTGCTGTAGACCCACTTAGAGCTGGAACCTGCCCCATGAGAAGGGCTGGCCATGTGCACATGTCGGGCAGGGTGCTCCAGGTAGATGGAACAGCATGTGACGAGGTGCTGAAGCAGGAGCAACTCTGACACCTGTGAGGAAGAGAAGGCGGCCCTGGCATGGAGCCTGGCTTTTCTTCCAGGGACTGTGGGGTTTTAAGCAGGGGAGTGGCACTATCTAGCTCATATTCTGAAAGACACCTCTTTACCAAACATTTGTTAAAGTAGAATTTAGATAGACCAAGGGTAGAGAGGGTGCACCAGGCAGGGGGCCTGATAAGGAAAGACCTGACCTAGGTGTCAAGAGTTTGTGGCCTCTGGTGCTGTCTGAAACTCATGGCTTGGACCCTGTGGTTCTCTCTGCAGCTCCTGGCCTGCTCCGCCCAGTCCTCGCTCGGTGGTGAGTACCTGTGTCTTTGGCACTGACCATG